CTCCCAGCCTTCTTCCTGTCTCTCTCTTTGAATTTCTTGTGTGCCTCTAAGCTGCCTTGCCAAAGGCCAAAACTTTATTTATCAACCAATCAGAGCAACACATATTTGCAGCATACAGAAAGACATTTCCCATTTTCTGTCTAAACAAAAACAAGGTTTTAACTTTAAACTATTAAAATTACATAAAACAAAACAATTATCTAGCAATAATTACAGTTACATTATCTAGTCTATTTGTATTTGGCAAAATAAAGAAAATATTCTATCTATCCTATATTTATGAGTCTAAAGTTTCATATCTAACTTACGTTTTATCATAACCAAGAAAAATTGTAATTATCTAGTCTTCAACTACATCAAAAGCCTCAGAAGGATACAATATTATCTAAGCAAACAGGAAGTACATTGTAAGCAACTTCCAAAAATCTAGAATGACAGAGACAGCTGGCTGCCTGGGCAATCATCCAAAGTTCTTATGTAACATTAAGGCATCCATTCTTCAGCCAACAGGCCTAGAGTCTCTCAGTTGCTTCTCGCTGTGTCTTGTAGAATATCTGGCAGTTTCTTCTGTGAAGCAGGAACCTAAAGGACCATCTCACCTTGCAAAGTTCAGTAGTCGATATGAGGGTACTTTGTTGCCCAGTGGCTAACTTTTGCCACAATGAAAGGTAACTCCGTATGCAGTTTGTAGTCCAAAGCTGATCTGTGGATAATGTTTGTCAACTTACCTGAGAGACACAAATAGGAAGCTGTTTTCAGCTCCATTTTAGAATCTTTTTTTTAAAGCTTTCTCAGGTTTTAGGTGGAAACCCTTGCCCCATGTTGGGCACTACTTGTAGCTGAAGTTTTCCCTGGTCTTACCCAGCCCCATGGACCCTGCAGCCACTTATAAAATAATCACTCAGAAGCTTATGTTAATTAAAACTGCTCAGCCCATTTCTGTTCATCTCTATGTTGCCAGGGGTTTCGTGGCTTTACCTGTGTGCCATTACATGGTGCTCCCTGAACAGTGGACTGGTGTCTCCTGACTCAGTTCTATTTTTCCTTAGCAGAATTCTCCTTGTCTGCTTATTCTACTTATACTTCCTGCCTGGCTACTGGCCAACCAGCATTTTATTTATCAACCAATCAGAGCAACGCGTTCACAGCATACAGAACATCCCACAGCATTGATTAAAATTTGACTATTATTTATTTTATAAAATTAAAATGGTATTACATGAGAAAACATTCTGTGAGTTTATTTTCACTGTATTCATTTGAAAGTAACTAGTATTCTGATATTATAATTTAGCAAGTTAGTTCTTGAGCAGAACATTTTTATCCTTTTTTAAATTTATTTTATTTTTTTTTTTAGGTTTTTCGAGACAGGGTTTCTCTGTGCAGCTTTGCGACTTTCCTGGATCTCGCTCATCTAGACCAGGCTGGCCTTGAACTCACAAAGATCCGCCTGCCTCTGCCTCCCAAGTGCTGGGATTAAAGGCGTGCGCCACCACCGCCCGGCTTAAATTTATTTTAATACCAACCACAGATCCCCCTCTCATCCCTCCTCTCATTCCCCCCATGCTTCCCCTAACCCTCCAACCCTCCTCCAACAGGGTAAGTTCTCCCATGGTGAGAGAAAGCTAAGCCTGGTACATTCAGTTGAGGCAGGACCTAGCTTCTTCCTGCTTTATCAGGGGTGAGCAAAGAGTTCAACTATAGGTAATGGGATTTAGAAAGCCGGCTCATGAACCAGGGATAGATCCTGATCGCACTGTGAAGGGCTCCTCAAACAGACCCAGCCACACAACTGTCTCCCGTATGCAGAGGTCCCATGCAGGTTCCACAACTGTTGGTCTAAAGTTCATGAGTTCCTTTGAGTTTGTTCAGTTGTCTCTATAGATTTCCCCATCATGGTCTTGACCCCTGCAAACACCCTTGCTCATATAATTAATCCCTCTTCCCTCTCTTTGACTCCACTCCCAGAGCTCAGCCTGGTGCATGGTTGTGGATATCTGCATCTGCTTCCATTAATTGCTGGATGGAGGCTCTATGATGGCAGGGTATTTACCAATTTGATTACCAGGGTAAGCCAGTTCAGGCACCTCACTACTGTTGTTAATAGTCTAATCTGGGGTCATCCTTGTAGATTCCTAGGAATTTCCCTAGCTCCAGGTTTCTCCCTTACCCCATCATGTATCCCTCTATCAAGATATCTCGTTCATTGCTCTCCCACTCCATCCCTCCCATAGTTTGACCATCCTGTTCCCTCATGTTCTCATTCAACATCTTCTCACATCTATTGCCGACCCACCCTCAGTTTACTCATCAGGATCTCCTCTGTTTCCCCTTCCCAAGGTGATCTGTACATCCCTCTTAGGGTCCTCCTTCTATCCTACCTTCTCTGGGGCTGTTCATTGTAGTCTGATTATCCTTGAGCAATGTGCTTTAGATGAATTGAATAAGGGTCTTTTTTCCTCATAGATGAATAATGATGTCATTAACAAATTTATTACATAACACAGCATCACATTAGAGGGTATAGTGAATCATATGTCTGAAGGTCTTTGCATACCTGGTACATGGAACATATTAAATGTTTGCAGCTGTGGTGACCCATACCCTCATCTTTACTGAAAACATAGTCTGAACTCACAACTAAGTACTAACACTCTAGTCTTTATTTTACTTTTGGTGGGACAAGTAATTAAACACAGGTCCTCACTTGTCCTTCTGGGGCTCTTTGTAATGCACTCAAGGAGCTGTCCTTTCTGGCCTTGTAGAACTGGTGTTCTTACAACACCTGCCCCAGCTGTCTGCTCAATCTGCATTTTATACCAGGAAGGGGAAAGCTAAGGAAATGAGTGACTGACAATTGACTGAAGTCTTGAACAGTTTAATATGAGCCATAATATCCAAGTGATTCCAGTGTAGAATCATGCTGAGCATTAAGACAGAGTTCTTCAGATGAATAGATAAGACTTGTTGATTTGATAGATAGGTGGACAGGGGTGCCATTAGTATTTCTATTAGATCACACAGTGCTCTGGGAACTGACTTTTTTTTCCTCCTAAGGTTACATTTGGAAGTCAGCAGTAAGGGATATATCAAGCAGCTGAGGGTGATGGCAGCCTCTGAGGACAAACAGGCCATGGAGTAATGAAGGAGGAAGTATTTGTTTTCACCCTGCTCTGCAGGACCTTTCTAAACTGGTGCCTTTGGAAGGTCTTGCCAATTGTATTTTTAAATCAATACCGGATAGTGAAGAAATCAAGTCATCTTGGAGCTGACCTTGTGCTATAAGTACTGGATGGGTCTAGTGAGATGGCCCATGTGGTAAAGTGCATGCCGCCAACCCTGATGCCCTGAGAGAAAGGAGAGAACCAACACCTACAAGTTGTCCTCTGATTCCCACTGGAGCGGTGGCATGTGTGTGTGCATGTATGTGTGCAAGTGCACACACAGACACACCTAAATAACACATGTAAAATAAATTAGAAAGCACTTGAGTGTTCTGCCCTGAAAGTAGTTGAGTTGTCCCTTCTAGGGACAGCAGTTGAAAGCAGGGAGACACCAGTCCTCAGGTGACAACATGACCATGTGTCTAGTTGACACAGCCCCAACTTTCTAAGATTTTCTTTCTGACAAAAAGTCCATGGTGGGAGGGGGGATCAGGGATCAGGTGGATCAGCAACAGAGTCCTTGCCAAGCATCACAAGACCTTGGGTTCCCTCTCCAGCACACACACACACACACACACACACACACACACACACACACACACAAATAAACCTAAAACAAAAACTCTGGTGATCATTTAGGGACTCATATAGTGGCTGACCAGTACTGCCTACCATCTTGAGGTAGGAGCCTCCGATGTATCGTGGCCTGAGATAACCACTTGAGTGTCAGACCTTCCGGCCACAGAAACAGGGAGGAAGCCCTGCCCTTTAAGGAGAGTTCCCCAAAGTCACTTGACACTTCTGTTTACATCCCTTCAGCCAGCATTTATGTAGCTGAACCAGATCTGAGGAGGCTGGACAGTGTTTCAACTCTGGGTGGCCCTGTGCTGGGTATAAATAGGGAGCTCTGTCATGAGCAAAGAGACAATGGGACAGAACGGCGGAAGCAGAAAGTCTCAGTCACTGGAGTCTGAGGATCCTTCTCATTCTTGGTTTGACAAAGGTCAGAATATGTCCCTAGACTTGTCAGAATGAAACGTTTTGGGGGTACAGTGAGATCAAAGACCACTCCTGAAAACAAAGACAAGACAGACTCCATCTGCTTCATCTCATGACCTTTTGCTTTCTCACTAATGTTAGGCCTGAGGGGAGTGTACATGTGTATATGTGTGTGTGACATTTTAAATCAGATCACATTCCCTTAAAAATAGCAAGCCATCCAAAAGGGTCTGAGGTGAGGGAAAGGGTGACTGTTAAGTGTTGAGTCACCATCCAACACCATTTTCAACCCACTATGCCCTCATCAAAGTACCAGCAGGGTACGGGACAATACATACCATGGCCCATTCCCTTTTGGTATTAATCTAGTCCCTTGTAGGACAATCATGTGCCTAGTTGAAAATGTTTTTACAAACTGCATGCAAGCCAGCTGGTAGTGAGGCACGCCTTTAATTCCAGCACTCAGGAGGCAGAGCCAGGTGGATCTCTGTGAGTTCAAGGCTAGCCTGGTCTACAGAGCGAGTGCCAGGACAGCAGGAGAGGCACCAAAGCTACACAGAGAAACCCTGTCTCGAAAAAAAAAGAAAGAAAGAAGGAAGGAAGGAAGAAGGGAAGGAAGGAAGGAAGGAAGGAAGGAAGGAAGGAAGGAAGGAAGGAGAAACTGAATGCAGTGGCACATGCCTTTATTCCTAGCACTGGGGAGGCAAAGGCAGGAGGATCTCTGACTGACAGCCAGGGCTACACAGAGAAATCCTGTCTCAAAGGAACCCCAAACAATAATCACAATCATAATCATCATAAAAATAATTTAATAAGAACAGTAATAAGAAAACTAGGTAGAATATCCAGTGTATTTTATTTAATATAACAGATCCAAAATGTCATTTCAACATCAGTCAGCATAAAAGCTTACAAATGAGACATTTTATATTATTTGTCCTGGTTTCACAAACCCATTGTGTGTCTCATTTCATATAACAGCTCAAATTCAGGAGATCAATACCTCATAGATGGCCATTCACCTCTCTACTGGCCAAGGATGTTCCAACTAGATTCCTCTTTGTCCTTACATTGACCAGAAGTCATTTTCTGTGTCAGTCATCCTGACCCCAATGCCAAGGTCCAGTGCATAGTTCTCAACTTGTGGGTCTTGACTCCTTTGGGGTCAAATGACCCTTTGGAGGGGTTGCCTACAACAACAGGAAAACAGATTTTTACATACATTTTATAACAGTAGCAAAATTACACTTATGAAGTAGCAACAAACCTAATTTTATTGTTGAGAGGGTCACCAGGACAGGAGGAACTGTACTATAGGGTTGCAGCATTAGGGAGGTTGAGAACCACTGCTTTAGTGAGAGGTCAATAATTCTCAGTCATAACAGCCAGAGACTCTGGTGTGGACAGACTCTAGAATCACCCTTCTTTGAAAGCTCAAGACCAAGGCTTCTCAGCCTCTCTTCCCAAAAGGAGCCTTGTAGATGTAGGAAGTTCAGGGCTACAAGAATCATGTTCCTGGCTGGCAGAGTAGCTAAGAACACTTGCTTCTCTACCAGAAGACCCTTGTTTGGGTCCCAGGAAATGTGTTGGGTGGCTTACAGCTGCCTCCAATTCCAGCTGCAGATGATCTGATAGAGTCTTCTGGCCCGGAACAGCCTCACATATGTAGAATTCACACAAACAGACAACCCCCCCATACACATAAGTAAAAATAAATCTTAAACAACCATGTTGTCATGCCATTCAGGTTTTCCCACACCAAATAGACCTGGCTGACTCATTCAGCTCACTCATTAGGCATGATTGGACTCTAATAAAGTTAAATCTGAGCTGTATATCATCAGCTGGGGTTAATATTAAAAATAAGCCAGGGGCTGGAGAGATGACTCAGTGGTTAAGTAACTGACTGTTTTTCCATAGAGCCCAGGTTCAATCCACAGCACCCAAAACTCCAGTTCCTGGATGTCTGGCACCCTCACACGTATACATGCAGGCAAAATGCCAATACACATAAAAACAAATAAATCTTTAAACAACAAATAAAGCTGGGCAGTGGTGGTGCACTCCTTTGAACCAGTACTCAGGATGCAGAGGCAGAAAGATCTCTGTGAATTCGAGGCCAGCCTTATCTATAGAGCAATTTCAAGCACAGCCAGGGCAACAGAGAGAAAGTGTGTCTTGAAAAACTACAGAAGAAGAGAAGGAGGAGGAGGAGGAGGAGGAGGAGGAGGAGGAGTAAATAAGCCAAGCTTGGAAAATGGCTCACTGAGTAAAGTACTTTCCACACAAGCATGAATCCCACATTTGAATTCCAGAACTCATGTAAAGCTCAATGTAGAAGCTGTTTTATCTCTAATCCTAGTGTTCCTATGGTGAGCTGACAGACAGAGACAAGAGAACCAGTAGAAAATATCATTCTGAGTACGGTAACCCAGACTCAGAAGAACAAAGATGGTATGTACCCACTCATAAGTGGATACTAGAAGTAAAGCAAAGGATAGCCAGACAACAACCCAAAACTCCAGAGAAGCTAGCTAACAAGGAAGACCCAAAGAGGGATGCATGGATTGCCCTGGGAAGTGGAAATAGATAAGATCTCCATGATCGAAATGGTGGTGAGTGGTGGGCAATAGGGTAAGGCATGAGTGATGAGAACATAAGGGAATGGGAGCTGGAACAGGGAGGGAGAGGGAAAGCAATGAAAGAGGTACCATTATAGAGAGAAATAACATGGGGATAGAGAGAAACCCAGTGCTGTGGAAGTTACCAGGAATCCCCAAGGATGACCACAGCTTAGACTACTAGAAATAGTGGAGAGGGTGCCTGAACTGAACTGGCTTGGCCCAGTGATCAGATCAGTGAGTGAATACCCTGTCTTCACAGAGCTTTTCTCCAACGACCAATGGAGGCAGTACAGAGATCCACAGCCAAACACCAGGCAGAGCTCCAGGAGTCCAGTCTGAGAGAGAAGAGGGATTCTTTGAGCAAGTGCATTAGGATCATGAGGGGGAAACCTGCAGAGATGACCAAACCAAACTAGTGGGAACTCATGAAAGTTGGATCAAAAGCAGTGGAGCCTGCATGGGACTGGACTAGGCCCTCTGCATGCTAGACAACTGTGTAGCTTGATTTGCTTCGGGGAGGCGGCTGGCGGTAAAATCAGAATCCATCCCTGGTGCATGAAGGGGCTTTTTGGAGTCCACTACCTATGATGGGACACCTCATGCAGCCTTGAGGCAGGGGTAAGGACTTGGACTTGCCTCTGCTGGATGTGCCTCCCCTTGGAAGGCCTTGCATTCTTGTGGAGAGTGATAGGGGGGTTCTGCTGGGGAGTGGGTTGGGGGGAGGACTGGGGGGGTGGGGGGAGGGAAAAGGTGATCTCTGATGTGTAAAATAAAAAAAAACTTTTTTTCTTAATAAAAAAAATGAAAAAAAAAAAAAAAAGAAAGTAACACAGGGCTGGTTTTCCAGGCACACACAGTGGCAAACACAATAAAGAGGAGCAACTTAGATGGCTCAGTTGAAAAAAACTCACCATGAAGTCTGATGACCTAAGTTTGTTCCTGGGAACTCGTGCAAAGTTGGAAATAGAGGATAGACTCCCCGGAGTTTTCCTCTGATCTCCACATTCAAGCAATGACATGCACACACCTCTCCCTATACAGACAAAAAATACAATCCAGAGATCCCGTCTCTAAGTAGAAGGTAAGCACCAGCACCTGAGACCATCCACTGACCACAACACCCATGCTCACACTCACACAAACACATACACGCACATGTGCACACACACACACACACACACACACACCCCACAGTTTAAACAACAGCAACAACAAAATCCCCCATCTAGCCTGCACTGTCTCACAACTCATTCAGACATCTTTAAAATACTACCTGGTAGACTTATGAATTTTACAAGTTTGACACTCAATCCAGTGGCCCAGCAGAAATGGATCTAGACCAGAATGTCCAAGTCTCAAGTTCTAGTCACCACTCTGCATGCCCTAGGAGTCATCCAGAGCTGGAAGTCTGTATGGAAGCTTTAAGAAAACACATACTGGTCACCACTGCTCTGTATCAAGTCTTGGTCAATTCTTACCTCTTCACTCCATCTTCTCCCTTTAAGGAATTGTCTTGAGCCCCATAACCATGACTGTAACAATGCGCAGGCCTCCCAGCACTGGTGTCATTATGGGCTGCAGCTGATCTGACCATCTTTAGCCTTTCTGACACTGGAGCATCCCTCTAAGCTGGGTGTGTTTCATTTTGCTTGCTGTCTGTCTCCCAGGGAGATGGAAACAGTGTGAGGTTTGATTTGTTATCCAGTGCTCATCCTCAATGCTAGCACAGGGCCGCTGTACAGTAAGCACTTTAAACATGCGAGTCAGAAGTAGGACATGGTGGCCCATGCCTATGATCCCAGCACTCAGAAGGCGGAGGCAGGTAGATGTTTGTGAGTTTGAGGCTTGCTTGTCTACCGAGTGAGTCCAGGACAGCCAGAGCCTCATAGTAAGACACTATCTCCAAAATCAAACAAAGAAAAAGGGGGTTTGAGAGTTGGATGAGCAGTTAAGAGCAATGGCTGCTATTGTAGAGGAAAGGGGTTTAATTTCCAGCAACCATACAGAGACTCAAACACACTCTTACAGCCTTTTCAGGCACCAGGAACACATGCAGTGCTCAAACATACCTACAGGAAAAACACATATACATAAAAAATGATATAAACATTAAAAAATGGAAAAAACCTAAATTAAAATTAGATACAAATGCAAGTCAGGGGCTTATGAAATGGCTGAACACATAAAGACTAGTAAAGAAGGAGCTCTTCCAAATTCTTTTTTAAGCCAGGGATACCCTGGTGTTGAGAGAGGGAGGTAGATAGATAGATAGATAGATAGATAGATAGATAGATAGATAGTAGATAGATAGATAGCCGATAGATAATTAGATAGACAGTAGATGGATGGATAGATAGAATTACAGGCCTATTATTCTGATGAACACAAAAACCAAAATTCTCAATAAAATATTTGCAAATCAAGTTCAGGATTACATCAAAAAAAAAATCATCCACCATGGTCAAGTTCTCTTCACCTCAAACCTGCAAGGATAATTCAAAATACACAAATCAACATATTTTTTCCACCACATAAAATGAACGAAGGACAAAAACAATATGACCCTCTGAGTATATGAAAAAAAAGCCTTTATAAAATCCAAATATCATCAATGGTAAAAGTCCTGGAGAATCTAGGGATATAGAGGATATATTTCAACCTAATAAAATAATTGTACAACAAACCCACAGCAGCATCATGCTAAACAGAGAAAAACTCAAAACAATTCCAGAAAAGCAGGAACAAGAAAAGGATATTCACTCCTTCCACTCCTATTCAATATAGTACTTGAACTCTTAGCAATAGCAATAAGACAAGTGAAGGAGATAAAGAGGATACAAATGGGAAAGGGGGAAGTCAAAATGTCCTTATTTGCAGATGATATGATTCTAAACAAATAAAACTAAAAATTTATCTGAAGTCTCTTAAGCCTGAGAAATAGATTCATAAAAGTGAAAGATTGCAAAATTAACACACAAAAGTCAGTGCCCTTCCTGTATACCAATCACAAACATACTGACAAAGAAATCAGGGAAACAATTCCACTCACAAAAGGCTTAAAAATGTATGACAAGACATTTTATATAAGCGCACTTTAAAAGCATGCTATTAAATACAATATATCACCCCTTTCTACGGAACTTCATAATAAAGTTTTCTATTATTGGGCAAAGGATAATTTTTAAAGTGGAACAGGCAGGAACATCCAGAGATAATTGTAAAAGAGTAAAGTAGGGAAGCATGTCACATGAGATAGAAAAAATAAAAAATACTTTAACAGAGATATGTAAGCAATGGGTCTGATTGGTAGAGTAGATACTGCAACAGATTGCAGCGTCCAGAAACTTTGTAATTGGTGAAAAAAGAGGCTAAAGTCTGGAAGGAGAAGGATGGGCTATGAGAGCATGCCTTGAGAATATGGCAAGTGTTCTAGTTAACTTTCTATTTCGATAAAAGTCCAAAAAGCCAATCTGGGAAACTGAAGGGTTTATTCACCTCACAGGTTGCAGTTCATCATTAAGGGAAGCCAAGGCAAGATCCCAAGGCAGGGGCTTGAAACCACAGAG